ATACTGTAGCACTGCCCAGAGACCACACTGAATCCTAGCAGCTACCTTACCTTCAGCCTATCACAGCTCACCCACAGACACCCACGCACCCTACAGTGTGCTTCCACAGAACTCCACAGCACCCCAGACACCTACCACATGCCTGCTGCAGCCTATCAGACTCTCTTCCTTCCCTGCAGTTCTCTCAGAATGTATCCCGTTTACTGTGCACAATGTAATACCCATAGTTCATAAGAGAGCATCTCTCTCTGTCCTCTGCTCCACACCACACTCATGGAACACCTTCCATGGCACACCCCGAAGGCCCATGACAGCCGTCCTTGTCAGACTCCTACAACATCCCTCTATACCGCAGACTCCTGGGGGACACCTTTGACTCGTGCTTCCGGCAGGTCACAATACATTCTCCATGGCACATCCCAGAGAAAGCATGAGAGGCCCCTGGCTGCACCCTTGGAGGAGGCGTATCCTGGGATCCAGCTGCAGGAAGATCTGCCTGCTTTTCCATCCTTACTTTTGCAGAACATGAGGTACTCCTCAGGGAAGAATTTATGATTGATGTCTAAAGGACTGTTAACATGCTGATTACATCTTTTGTTTCCGGCAAAAATGAATGTGCCCATCATGATAACAGCTGAAGGCTAGGGTGGGCATCTGGGCTCTTCAGGGCTCCTATCGCCTTCAGAGATAGCGGGGGTAAGTGGTCCCTCAGGTCCACAGGAACTGCACATGCTCTGTAGAAATGAATCTTTGAGCCAGGCCTTCAGCCTTTGAGCTTCCATCAGAAACAAGATAACCTAACCATTTTCTCTGCATAGAGTTATCACAGAGGGAAGATAATATACAGGGCAGTGTAGGTACAGACACAGAATATGAGTTTAAAACCATAAAAATACCCCTTAGATAGCATACTGTTTAGCTGGTTTTCCTATTGTTTATATGGCTATGATTTGTCTTTGTTGCCATAGGAGTCCATTCCTGCATCCCATTCCCCTTCTACAAGATACCTTGAGATCAGGAACCGGATGTACCCTACTCATCTTCATCCCCCGGGACCAAATAGTTGCACATAGACCTTAGGGATCTGGATGGTGTGTGCAATGGCACAATTTCTTGGTGAGCAAGCCATCCCAGGAACAGCATCATTTAGCTTATGTGAGCGACACTTTCAAAACCAGCTGTCATCAGAGCACATTCTCATTTACATCTACTCTGCCAGGTAATGTCACATGCTAATTAAATGGGTCATTAAGATGCCAATAGGTCTGCAACTCCATGTGGTACAATCTTTTCACTTTCACCCAGTGACCTGAACTCGTTGCTTCCTATCCATTACCAAGGCTTGTCCTCAACCCCATTCCCAGCCACCCCCTGCCACACATGGCCCTGCCCCAGACCTATTGAGAAGAAGCCCCATAGCAGTTAGCACAACTGCTTCCAATCATAGTATGACCAAACATTGGAGTTACGAGCGTGCATCTGAGTTATAGACATTGGCGTCTTTAAAATGCCCCGCTAGAGGGAGAAAACACAAAATCTAGAGTGCCCATCTGTCCAGGGAAGGCTTGCTTGTCACTTAGGGGAGTCCAGCTTCCAGTGAGCTGCTCTTGGAGTTACAGTTCCTGCCAGCAGCCAAGCCTTTGGCTTGCTGCAGACTCGGCCAGGTTTAAGGCAAAGATCGCTGTGCGTAGATGCAGTCCTCTGGAAGGCCGCTCCAGGGCAGCCCACAGCTTGCATGACATTTTTTGAACTCTTGCTATTTTATTACCCCAGGCACAAGGATGTGGTGGTACTTACTTCTTCCCTCCCTCTGTGGCTCGAGCACTTTAGTAATTTAAAAATGCATTCCTCCTCCTTCATCTAAAGAAGTAAAAATAATTATAATAGAAAATGGGTAATTTGCAGCTGCGATGCCAGGCTGATAATCAAAAACTTGTAAATGGAAACATGAACATATGTTTATCACTTCTTGAAATTAGAATGCAATTGCACAGAGCTGTGGCCTCTGAGAGGGCAGGAAGGCAGGGAAGGCAGGTGTAGCTGTTAGCTGAGACCCGCCTGCTAATGAGGCTTTCAACCTGCCTTTGACTCAGGAGCAGTGAGTAAAGAAGATGGCCCAGAAGAGAGGCCCAGCTGTCCAGGGGACCCTCAGGTCCCTCAGTGGACAGCTCACCAGCCACTGCCCCCAGGATCAAGGTTAGCCTTGGCAAGCTAGAACCCTCTCTACCTGCCTACACTGCCTGCCCTCGCGCTGTCCCGACGCCCCAGAGCCTCCCACTTTCCCAGACTTTGCAAACCATGTGTCCCTTATTTATCTGCCTCAGTCCTCTTCCTCCTCAAAGCACCTGCCACTTCCTCCTGGCCTCTCTCCCTCAAACTGACTGGGCCACAGCCCTCTTCCATGCATTCTGGCCCCTCTGATTTCACCGTGCCAGTTCTTCCCCTGTGCCATGACCCTCTAGCAGCTGGCCGGTCTGCGTATTACTGTCACAGACAAGCTGCCTGGCAGGGATGTAACTTACCCTCTGGCTCCTGGCACCTAGTAGGTGCCGTGTGAAGTTTGTAATATGAAAAGCCAATTAATGGCCACTGAGGACTTTGAAATGATTTTAGAGTCCTTTGAGAAAGAGCTATTGAGACTTAGTGTCACTGATAAAGTAACCCCACAGTGCATTCCACAGCCAGGTGAGCGGTTCAGAGCCCCCGCGTCCATCTTCATCTTGGTGTTGGACAAGAGACGGATCATGAGGTGCACCTGCCCAGTCTTCAAGCCAAATAGAAAATTGGGTGGTAAACACCTCCCGCTGCTCTGCTGTAATCAGGACAGCAGAGTGTTTGTTGCTCGCCTCTTCTTGTGATATTATTAGAAGCTTGAAGGGCTCACAAATGCTTTCAGCATCTGAAGAAGGTCAGTCCTACTGAATTGGTTGCAAGCCTAAAAAAACGTTTTAAAAAAATCCTATTTGTGCCCTTACTCTGAAGCGCAGTGCTTAGCTCGCTCTCCCTGATGGGTCCCCAGACTCAGCGTCTGTCTGTAAGAGGCACGTCTGTCTGTGGACTGGCTTCTCACCCCTGCCCTATTGCAGTTTCAGGCCTATGGATGAGGGAGCAACATGTTTACTTCTCAGCCCGTCCCTGGTTTGCACTCGGCTTTATTCTTATCAACAGTTCGTTACATGTGATTTGTTCTTCGTTCTCTTCTGTTGCTCTCAGCAATGGAGAAGACAAGAGTGTTGAACCAGGACTCCTGCTTTTATCATCACCACTAAGACCAACAGCGAGGACATTCCAGAGTCATCCTTGCTGGATTTCTTAGGATTTCTATTGACCTGATGAAACATCATCACCAAAGCAACTTGGGGAGGAAAGGGTTAATTTCATCACACATGTTCTGACCACAGTCCATCATGTAGGGAAGTCAGGGCAGAAACCTGGAAGCAGGGACTGAAGCAGAGGCCATGGAGGAGTGCTGCTTGCTGGCTTGCTCAGCCTACTTTCTTGCAGCACCAAGAACCACCAGCCCACAGGTGTAATCGCCCACTGCCATCTGGACCCTCCAATATCAACTGTCAATCAGGAAAATGCCCACAGGCCAATCTGGCAGGGGAATTTTCTCAGCTGAAGTTCACTCTTCTAAGATGACCCTAGCTTGGGCCAAGGTGACACAAATCTGGCCTGCACACTTGTTCACTGTCCCAATCCAGAACCCTGCTGTGTTAGCTATCAGAAAACTTAATCTGAACCACAAGGAGTGGGAGGAGCTGGGCACCAGGTATCATGTACCGTTGATCAGATACTTACCTTGTCTCCAGTATGCTGACATACAGACCAGCGAGAGCCAGACACTGCTGCGGTCTGGTTATTGTCCCGGCCCAGGATGTCGTAGCACTCTGGGTCTGAGTCAGAACATGTACCCTCATGATTCAGGCGGTGAATGAATGGAAGAAGATGTGGAAGGCTGGTAGCCAGTCTGGATCCATCTGCTGTAGGAGTTCTGGAGAGGGACTCAGCTAGCATTCCCAAGCCAAGGTGTAGAACTGTGCCAGTTCTGTGCAGGGCATAGAAATGGGAAGGCAGCAAGCTGAGCCCTCTGCCCACACCCTGCTGCTCCTATTGTGTGGGCTCTACTTACCAGGCAAATGTGTGGTTTCAGAGTGTGTTGGAGTCAGTTGTACTTAATAAATGTAGTCAACAACTTTATTAAATATCATAGAAACTGATGACCTGTGAGTGTGGAAAAGGGGTTCTGAGCACTGAATTGAATGCTGTGGAAAGAGTCAAGCTGCGAGCGGCTGCCCTTTTATGCACCCTTCCCCCCGCCAGGGGCTCATGAGGGATCTAGTTCAGAAAGATGGCTGGAGATAGAGGAAGGGACTAGGAAGCCTCATGTGGACTCTGGTCTACTGTGCTTACATTTCTGTAGGTCACTTCTCTGTCTTAAACAACCTGAAGCAGGGAATTGTTACTGATGGTTAAGGTTTGTGAAGTCCCATCCTGGTATAACTCAATACCTGGCCCTGGATCCAGTGGCCTTCTTGTGTCTGTTTTAATTTTAATCTAGAATTCGTTTAGACTTTCTAAAGAATTCTCTGTTTTTCCCATTTCTTTCTGCTGTACTAGTCCATGAGGAGGGGCAGGTGTCACTGGGGTGGGGCTGAGAGGCTAAACTGCTGAAAGCTGAGGCTTTCACAGGGTCACCAGAGTCAGCTCAGGGCTCTTCTAGGTGCTGTACTAGGAACATGTGATGATGAACAGTGTTGAGGGGTTGCACAGAGTGGGAAGCCCCAGCCCCGGGAGGAAAAGGACCTGGCCTGTCATTGGGAAGGAGTAGAGAAAAAGGAGGACAGATGTCCCAGAGGGGATATGTCATTTGGTATGGAAGCTTTGAGAAAAGGCAAGTGTGGTATGCTGCATATTCTTATGATGGTGTTTCATTGTAGCAATAGCAATTCTAAGGGTCCAAGATGAAGGTGTTGTTTATTCAGGACGCATTTATTAAGCACCTCTGTGTACCACCTTGGAAACCATGGATACAAAAACAGTAGATTGGTCTCAGCTGCAGGACAACAAGAGACAGGGAGCCCACTTACTGTGCCTTGGGCAGAGTGGATAAAGGACAAAGCCATCATAGTAAAGGAGTGCATCGTGCAGCTTGAGATTTTGGGTGTAAGGGGCGGCCAGCACCAGGGCTTGGGCAGGGGCGGGAGCTGGCGGGGAAGTTTGGCCTGAAGGAGGACTCACAAGGGCTAGACCTAGAGGGAGAAACGTTGGTGTCTCATAGTGCAGATGTTTTTATGTTTGAAGCTGGTTTAGGAAGATAGTGGCCACCCAGCTGTTGCTGTTATCTAGCAGGTATGCAGAGAATAACGGCTTCAGTTCACACAACCATTTATGACTTCTGCTTTCAATTATTTCTTAACTGAACAGATTTTAAAATGATGATATTTTTAACAACACCCCTCCTTTTTTTTGCTGTTCTTTGACCCACTGAGAGGTGTGAGATTGTTTGCACTTGAATTTAAAAATAAAAAAAAACATTCCCGAGTCCCATTTTATCTGCAAGATGCGTTCTTAAGGACCAGTTCATCCCAAATGTGACATAGGGCGCAGTGGGAACAGAGAGTGACAGAGTGACACCAGTCAGTGTGACGTTTGTGACACAGCTAGTCCTAGAACACCGACATTCCTGGCTTCCGTCTTTCCCTCTAACATTTGAACTCTGCCATTTTGGTAAAATAGGAAGAAGGTCCTTTCCACAACACCCATTCTGTACTTTTAATTCCTTTCTGTCCTAAGGACCTGCTGCCCCTCTGTGATGAACATCCTGTGGGTCTCTCTCCACCTTCACCTTTGAACACGAGAGTTCCAGCAAAGGAAAGCAAAGCTAAACTTAGTTCTACAGCACCCCCAGCCTCTCTGGAGGGTGGGAGGGCAGACATGGGCGGGGCCTATTGGTCTCTATCCCCTCTCCTAGGGAAAGAGTCCGTGGGGCATCTTTATGGTCTTGCTTTCTAAACTAAAATGGATTTCATTTGTTTTGGAGAGTTTTATGATTTCACTTAAGCATGGTGTAGTTGAGAACCCGGGAGTAGAAGCAGCCAAGCCCTTCCTTGAAAGCTGAGAGGAACAGTTGCCCTAGTGTGTGTTGTTAACTCCCAGCCAGCAGAAACCTGGAGAACTCGGCCAGGTAGGGTCCAATCCTAGCTCATCTTATCATGCAGCCTTAAGCAAATTAGCTCACAACTGTGGGTCCCAGTAGCCTTCTGCCAAGGTGGAATATCGGCATCTAGTTGAAATGGAATGTGTAAGGCAAGGGCAGAGTGCCCTTTGTGGTTGGTAAAGGCTCTGCCCAGGTTACATACCAACTCTGCAGCTTTTCTCCAGGACTCAGAATTACTCTGCCCTTAGTCGCTGAGATGTACCCAGGAACTTCAGGAATCTGGAATCTCATCATTTCTGATGGAAAGTAGTTCAAAGCCACAGAGGGTCAGCTGCATCGTCTACAGATAAAGTGCCACATGTCACCAGTATCTGCCCTCTTAGCATCGCAGATGTTAGGCTGACCTCTCAGAACAACTTCTGACTTTTTAATTATTGGCATCAATGTATGTGGAATCATTGGTGGAGTTTTTAATCTATGTAGTTTTTACTTAGCACAGACACTACCCTATGAAAAGCAGTACCTACTTAGTCAAAATGGAAGCCATATGGAGGTTGCCATTATTTAGTTTCTTACAGGCAAGTAAGTTTTCATGTGTGAAGTACTTTGTGCTCAGCGGGTGTTTATACCATACCTTCCATGCAAGTTCTCATACAGTGACTCAAGTGTCCTATGTCCTTACTATTTCCTATAAAATCCCAGATAAGCTTTGAGAACATTTGAGATGAAGGTGCTGAATTTTCTTAGTTCCCAAAATGTCTTCCTTTTATGGCTGAAATGCTCATGTTGGATTAAAGCAGAAAGTTATTTTAAATAATCATTTCTGAATTAGCAAAGTGAGAGGGATTTTTTTTTAAGCCATGTAGCAGTTTGCTCTGGTTATATCTTGATTCCTGCTGTTGAGGGGAAGTCAGACCTTCCCATCTGTAAGTGGTTGTGAAGTCTCTCAAGGGCTTTAGATGGACGATCTCAGAGTAATGTCAGCAGCTTTGGTTCCCGGAGGAAGGGAAATGGAACAGCATTGCCCTGGGGCCTCTTTCTCCTTGTACTTCTCTCAATGTCCTACCTTCAGGGAGTGTCCCCAGGTGCCTGTCTCACTGGGCCTGGGGTGGGGGCATTCTGCAGTGACATGGCCCTCAGATGTAACCCCCACAGTCTGGAACTGAAGCACTTGCTTCATGTAAGGCAATGTCACCATGTGTAGAATTCCCAGTGCTGTACCAGAATGCTGAGCCTGGAGCTCCGATCTCACTGACTTCTACCAGGGAGCATCACGTCAGTTCTTCAACAACAAGATGGGTGGAGTGTGACTCCGACGCCAAGGCTGTGAATGGAAGCACAAAATAAACAGGACTGAAAACTTAATTCATGCGATTCACCCTTCAAGATGGAGTCGCTCCCCATAAAAAACCCATATCCCAATCCTGGGTGTCTGTGTGACAGTTAGTTTTAAATTCGGGAGATGGAAGTCTTGAAATTTCTATTAAGGAATCTTCAAGTGTCACTGCTTTTAAGATGTGTGGCAAATCTTGGCAAAATATACTTTGAAGAATAAACAGTTCATCTTGTATGGGAGAAAGAGGGCCTTGGTTTCTTTCAGTAGGCAAAACTCAATGATTTCACAAAATGCCATCTTAAGAAGTGTGTAAGGACTTGTGGCTGCCAAGTGGTTCTGTAGCTTGTGTTGCAGACAGCAGTGATCCATGTCCTTATGTATCCTAAAGGGACTGGAATCATAGTTTTATTTGTTTTGAGGCAGAGTCTTTCTGTTATACAGTCCTGGTTGGCCTAGAGCTCACTGTGCAGACCAGGCTAGCACTGAACTCACAGAGATCCACATGCCTCTGCCATGATAGAGCTCAGTGTCCTTTTTCTGGCAACAACTATGGAAACCAAGAAGGCTACATACAGTGACCAACCCTGCAGGGACTGTTGATTTACTAAGGAAAAAAAAAAGCCTGCCTTCCTGGGGGTGAAGGGACCTTCAGAGAGATCCTTCTACATCACAATCATAGCTCCCTTCAGCTCTGGGGGGACATTGCTGAGTCAGTAACTAGGAGTACTGGGACAAGTCACTGGGAGGTCTCCATTGTTCCCCGGCTCCATGCCACACAAGGACCAAAAGGTTTATGTTTATACCATTTTTATCTTCTGTTTCTTCAAATATATGGAAAGACTATGGCAAGCCCCCCTACTGAAGTGATGTGTTAAGACACCCAGTGGCCATGGCACATTGTGCTGCTCTCTAGAATGGGATCTGGCTTCCTTCTTAACCAAGCACTTCCTGGGCGCTGTGGCCAGGACTGTTGTTCTTTGATGAGCAACAACAAAAGCCATCATTGGTTTCTTACTCCTACTTTAAAGTTTCACAGAGGACATTCGTTCTTACTGTAGATCTCTACATGGCTTTGTTTTAAGGTTTATTCTTATTTATGTGTATGTGTATTGTGAGTATATGCCACATGTGTGTAGGTACCCACAGAAGCCAGAAGAGGGCATCGTATCCCTTGGAGCTGCAGTTACATGCAATTATGAGACGCTTTAGAATGGGTTCTGGAAGAGGAGCAAGGGCTCTTAACCATCTCTCCTGCCCATTAATTTTTTGGGTGTGTGTGAGGGAGGCATGTACATTTGCATGTGTATGAAATGCTTATGGGGGGGCAGTGCACATGCCATGGCATGCATGTGGAGGTTACAGAACCTCAACGGCCACTGTGTTTAAGGCAGGGTCTGTAGTTCACCTCTGGATGCCAGGCTAGTTGGCATGTGTCTTCTGGGCATTCTCCTGTCTCTGTCTCTCATCTTGCCATAAGCATACTGGGATTACAGACAGACACCACAGGTACTCTATCCACCAGGCTGTCTCCCCAGATCAGAATGATTTTTGTTGTTGTTTTGCATTGTTTTTTCTTTCTTTATTGAGAACTTTCACTGTATCAGTAAAAGAAAGCACTATGCAGCTTTTGCATCCCAAATGCCAGTCAGCGTCACTCCGCTTGTACATGGGAACCATTTCCAAGTAACGTACAGGTTACTTGAGCACAAGCATTGTAGTGCTATAAAATCAGACTGATAAAGCAGATGGCTACTGAGTGAGTAGTGGGCAGGCAGCGTTACAGGATAGCTAGTGTGGACTGGGAGACGGTTCCTGTGGTGGGTAGAATGTGGTGGGTAGAATGGTAGAAGAGTGGTACAGAATGGCATATTTCACCACGTACCACAGAATAACATAAAATAGAAACCTTCAAAAGGTTTCTATATAAAGAAAACTCATTTCAGTTTAAAATGACATGGCTACAGCCCAAGTGAGTCCACTCCTCTTGCCTTCCCCCAACAAACCTGCTCCTTCTGGAGAGATAGTGACTTACTGGATGCTGGATATACATAAATTCACCTACCCCGTGAATTTATAAGTGTGTGTAGATGTATGTAGCATACATACAGCATGTGTATCATTTCCGTATATTATACTAACATAGATTGATTTGTTTAACACGAGACAATGCTATAATTCTACTTCTAACTTGCATTTTTTTTGGGGGGGGGGTGGTTTCGAGACAGGGTTTCTCTGTAGCTTTGGAGCCTGTCCTGGAACTAGCTCTTGTAGACGAGGCTGGCCTCGAACTCACAAAGATCCGCCTGCCTCTGCCTCACGAGTGCTGGGATTAAAGGTGGGCACCACCACCATCCAGCTCTAACTTGCATTTCTTAATCTACTCATTAATAATCTGTCATATCAATATATATAAAACCAGGTCACTGTTTTTAACAGCTATGTAAAACTCTATGTAATCAATCCTCTCCTGGCAGACATACAGGTTTCTGACTTTTCATTATTGCAGACAAGCCTTCAGAGGACAGCCTACTGACATATTCTTATAGTTAAATGGTGTGTTTATTAATCATTATACTTCATTTGTTTGAAGATGTGCTTCCTGCGTAGACACCCACACCCACATGTGTACACAGACATAGCTGCACTGTGAGGTTAACTTGTGGGAAGTTTCTTAACTCTTTGGTGTCCTCTGTCCACTTCACATTCACCTGTTGAGATATTAGCTTTAAGAGCCAAACACCCTCTCTTCATGCTCTCTACTTCCTGCTTCAGGGGAGAGCACACCCAGAGCCGGGAGGTAGGTGCCTAATGGTCAGCACCTTGTAGCCCACTTGCTAGAGACTGAAGTTGAATTGTGTTAAAATTACCAGAGAGGGCCTGTGGCATCAGCTCAGCTGGCAGAACACCTGTAACATAGTATGAGACTGATTCTAGACTCTAAGCACCCATATGAAAAAGCCAGGCTTAGTCATGCATTTCTAATGCTAGCACAGGGAGGGCAGAGATAGGAGTCCCCTAAACGTAGGGGAGGATATAGGTGACCCCTAAAGTTAAGGCTGGAGATAGGAGACCCCTAAAACTAAGGATGGAGATAGATATACTCCTAAATCTACGGACAGAGATAGGCAGAGCTCTAAAGCTGTGGGCCATGTAGTTCAGCCAATCAATAAGTACTAGGTTCAGTGAAAGACCCTGTCCCAGGAAATAGACAGCCACCAAAGGAGAATCCTGACATGCTCTCTGGCCTCCACATGCACCCACAGACATGAGATGTGTAAACTTCCTCCAATGACATGTTTGATGGGCAGGTGGTTGGAGGGTCATGAGACTTGGGAAGTAAACAACTCACAAGTCTCAAGAAGTTCCTAAAACAAGGTTCACAAAGCCCAGCTCAAGGTCACACAAGTGTAACCATTACTGGGAGCGGAGACTCTTAACACATCTAGTTGCCTGTAAGTTTCACAGAAAGCTCCATGGTGGCAGCATCCCAGAGAAGTCAACCAAGCTGGAATGGACTTTTTAGTGACCCTGCTGCCTCTGAGTCATTCAGAATGACACATTACCCATACTTCTCTAAGTAACCCCAATAAAACTTACTGGTTCACCAAGTTGGACTTCAGTGAAATGGTTTCTTTGTTCTGTCAGCAGTGCTCTATCTGGGGTGCGTAGATGTTTGTTCATAACTCCTGAGAACACTCAGTCACACAGCAGCACGTGTGTGTGTGTGTGTGTGTGTGTGTGTGTGTGCACTCATATGCACATACATATGTGATCACTGAGGAATCACAGAGTGTTTGGGATAGCTGTTGTACAAAGTGACATTCTTCCTACCAGCACCTCTGTGATACACAACAGAGAGCTGGTACAACAATGACCACAAACTTGGTAGTTTAAAACAACTCACAGTTCTGGAGGCCAGAAGTCTAAAATCAGGATCCACAGAACAAAAATCACAGTATCAGGGGACACAGTCTCGTGGGAAGCCCCAAGGAGCATCTGTCCTTCGTTTCAGCCTTGATGGCTTCCAGCATTCTCTCTTGATCGGGGTTGTCTAGTGGAGTGGCACTGCAGAATGGACGTGTATTGTAAGAGGGAATTTGTTAGATTGACTTATGTAGTACAGGCTAGAGAGTCCAGCAATGGCCGTTTGTACACTGGGAAAGCTGGAATCACCAACAAGAAGCCAAGGCAAACAAACTCACATTGCTTTTTTCTCTCAGACCTCCATATCCAGCCCCCCAGTTATACGGTGCTGCCTACTCTGAGGGAACAAAAGTTTATCCTCTCAGCAAATCATTTTTGGAAGATTCTCACAGACATGCATAGGTGTCTCTTAGCTGATCCCACACTCCATCAAGTTGTCAATCAATATTAACTGTCAGACATCCCTTAGTTTGTGACCTTGTTCTCAGTACCAGCCATCCCTAGTCTCCCCTGCTGTTTCTTTACAAAGCCTCCTTTCTGTGTGTCAGATCCTCTTTCCTCTCCCTCTTACAGGGATACACAGCACCCCCATCCCAATAGCCTCAATGACATCTGCAAGACTTTGTTTTTTTTTTTTTCAATAAAATAGTATTTGGTCTGGGGTCTAAAGTATGGTATTTTGGGGGGACGCCATTCTTTGTGGGGCTTTGTGTCTCAGTTTCCCGTATATGTTGTAACAGAAACATCTTGCTGTTTCCTTTGAGCCCTTTGGAAGAATGCATGTTCATTCACGGAGAAGCCAGGTGCTCTGCTTTCTGCACTGAAAAGTTGGCCTCAGAGGTGAGGTGGCAGAGTCAGGGTCAGATAAAATCTCTGGCTGACACACTCCTTGAACCAGAGAGTGCTGGCATGAACAGTGTGCACACCTCAGCACACAGCCTTTCTGCTCTTTAATTAGGGCTGCTTAGCTAGCTCTACACTGTGTGTGCAAACTAAAAGGAAGCTGAGAAGCTGCCTGACTTTTTTCTTGTAGAACAAGCTATGCTTAAACAATGAGGTAGTTTTCAGACTATCCAGATAGACACAGGGGTGTTCTGCTGTTGTTAAGAAACAATGGAGGGCACTGGACAGTGGTGAGGGCAGAAGGCCAGGAGAAGTGCATGCCTGTTAGGCAGGAAGCGTCATTAAAACACAGGATGATCTTGTGAACACACATTGATCTGACAGTGCTCAGTGTCTGCGCCTTCTAACTCTCATCCTCCTCAGGAAAGCCTGGTTACAGTTTTGGAATTGGCCCTGCCCTGATGACGTGAAAGCTAATGTCTTATGCTTCCATTCCGCAATTTCACAGCAGACCCACATGCTCCTAAACTGTGAAGCTCAGCACACTGCGTGCATTCTAGGATTTGGTCCAAATGACTCAAACTACTGCCTATTTCAGCAGAATTCCCTTTGGCCATGGCTTGTTAATACATTATAGAGACATTAGGACAGCCATTCAGGAGTGTGTACAGGCAGGTGCAGAGCATGTTTCTCTAAAGAGCTTCCTAGCCAGACAGGAGTAGTCTGAGGGATGAAGGGAGAGAGATTACTGACCATGTCAGATCAGAAGCTGAAGCACACAGGGATCCCTTAAGCCAGAGGGGGCTCCTGTGCGTGAGCCCCCATATTTGTAAAGAGCCTTGGTTATGAGACTGAACTTCTGAGATACTGTATCATCTGCAAGAAGTTTGTAGAGGGCTGGAAGACTTGCCCAGAGACATGGGTCTTGAGAATGACCACATCTGCCTGTCAAAGGGCACAGACCATTGTGCTCAAGAGAAATGTGAGCCTCTGCCTAGGGCCTGCTGGCATCAAGTGTACATTTGTAATCTCAGTGAAGTCAGGGCATGCAAGTGAGTATCGCTAGTGAGTCCCAAAGGATAACTGAGAAAGAAGCTAAACTGGTCTGCTTCAGGCTCAGGCTGCAGTCACGACTGAACTGCCCACCAACCAGGTCTCATTTCCATACAGCACAGCAGTTATGCATAGCATTAAATAAATGTCGGTGAGCGCAGTTAAAATTGTTAATTAATCACAGCCCCACACTGGCTCAGGTCTCTGATTTCATAGAGCGTTGTGTGGATTTGCAGCTGTCTGCTCATCACCATGGCAGTCTGTTCCTAGCTCCATCAGGAGAAGGTAGGCTGCTGGGCTTCTCGTTTCTAGAGGAAATGGTGTTGTGGAATTCTGGAGAGAATGGCTCTGTCCTTGGTTATGTTGTCCCCAGCAAAGCTCCCGAGTGTACACCTATGGTTGAGCATCAGGCTTTTGTCTGCTTCTCCATTACTGCGTGTGATGCTCTGTCCTACTTTTATGGAGAGCGTGGCTGAGTTTCTACCTCCCTGGTATTCTGAGGTCCTTGTACTGTCTTCTTGTGGCCTTGAAAATTTTGGCAGCAGTAACAGCTTATTTTATATTGGGGCAAGCAAAAGAATGAAAAAAATTAAAACACAGATGTTCTTTTTAGAATGTGTGTGTTTTGTAGAGTGTATGTGCATATATGTGTGTGTTATGTATAATGTGTATGTGTATATGATGTGTATGGGATGTATAGTATGTGTGATATACAGCGTGTATGTATATGTGTGTTATGTATAGTGCGTGTTTGTATATGATACACATGTCATGTATGGTATATATGTGTGTATGATATGTGTAGTGTATATCTGTATGTTTGTGTGTTATGTATAGTGTGTATGTGTGTATGATATATGCATTATATAGAGTATGTATATATGATATGTGTTATATATAGTGTGTATTTTTATATTGTATGTGTTATGTATAGTATGTGTGTGTATATTATATATAGTGTGTACTTGTATATGATTATGTGTTATGTATAGTGCATATGTATATATGAGGAGTATTATGTATAGTATATAAGTGTATATGATGTGTGTGTAAGAGTGGGTGTTCTCATGCCACAGAACATGTGTGGAGGTTAGAGGACAGTCTTGGATGTCCGTCCTCCGACCTCACCATCCACTTTGTTTGAGACAGTGTATCTTGCTTACAGTTGGGCACACAAGGCTAGTTGGCCTGTAAACTTCTAGGGAGTTTTCTTCCTCCCATCTCTGTAGGAACACTGGGATTACAGAGCTACACTTCAGGTCTGAGTTTTAGGTGAGTTCTGCAGATTCGAAGGCAGGTCTCATACTGGCAAGCACTTTGCTCACGGAACAATCTCTACAGCCCCCCTTACTTTGAATTCTTATATTTCTCTCTTAGGGTCCTCATTGTTGTCTAGGTTCTCTGGAATTATGATTTTTAGGCTGGTTTTCTTTGCTTTATGTTTGAAAGTCACTTATGAGTGAGTACATTTGATAATTATCTTTCTGGGTCTGGGTTACCTCACTCAAAATGATGTTTTTAGCTCCATCCATTTGCCTGCAAATTTCAAGATGTCATTATTTTTTTCTTTTTGTAGTATGCCATTGTGTAAATGTACCACATTTTCCTTATCCATTCTCTGTTTGAGGGGCATTTAGGTTGTTTCCAGGTTCTGGCTATGACAAACAATGCTGCTATGACCATCTACATGGGAAATAGAAAAAGACAAGATCTCCTGAGTAAATTGGGAGCATGAGAGGGGAGAGAAAGAGAGGGGAGCAGAGAAAAATGTATAGTTCAATAAAATCAATAAAAAAAGAATTCTTACATATCATTTTAAAGCTTGTCTGAAAATAACCAGTGTAAGAGGATTTGAGATCATATAGGAAAGACAGCTGTCACACCATATCCCTTGACAATTTTTGTTTCTTCATTGCCAGAATCCTCCTTCCTTAAAACAAAAAGAAGCCTTGCTGACCTGTGAGTTCATGGGACAGACATAGCCACCAATGCCTTCTGTCAGGGACCAACATGGCCATCAATGCCTTCTGTCTGGCCCCATGCTGTGGTCTGGAACCCCACTCACCAACAGTTGCTCTAACTCCTAGAAGCATTTGAGGTTCTTGAATCAAGCACAGCTCTGGCCACTCTGTCTCCTCTCTAGGCTCAGGACTCCCTAATCACCTTCCGTACATGGATAGCTGGGCCACACTTTGTGTATGGTCTCTTTCTTTCTGTCAGAAGTAAAATAATTGTGTGGCATCTGGAGCAAGTGTGGTCACGGTCTCAAAAGGTTTTCCTGACGGTCCTCCTCAGTTTTCCTTCGTGGGTCACGGGGCAATCCAGAATTTATTTTCATGTTTCTCAAGAATTGGTAAAGGTACTAAGGGTTCCCTCTCCTTACAAATCACTAAATTGGCATACGGTGGCCTCGTGAATACTGGAAGAAGATGCCAGTGACCACGGCATTGCAGCTGTAGCAACAGCTGGGTAACAGGATTTTCTTGTGCCACTACCCTTGACTGCAGTTCCTGAGGGTGAAGGAAAGTCAGGTGACATCTCCATACATAGCAGATTTGGTTACAAAAGAGGAGCCCTGTGCAGGCTATTTTTATGTCAACGTGGCACAAGCTGTAGTCACCTGAGATGGAACCTGAATTAAGAAAATGCCTCTAATAAGACCAAGAGTATAGCAAGCCTGTAGGGCATTTTCTTAATTGGTGATTGATGTGGGAGGGCATGGCCCATTGCAGGTGGTGCTATCCATTGGTTGGTGGTCCTGGGTTCCATAAGAAAGCAGGTGGAGTAAGCCATGAGGAGCAAGCCAGTAAGCACTCCTCTCCACGTCCTCTACATCAGCTCTGCCTCCAGGTTCCCATCCTGTTAGAGTCCTGCCTTGACTGCCCTCAGTGATGGAAGTGTAAGCCAAACAAATCCCTTCCATCCCAAGTTGCTTTGGTCATGATTTTCCATCATAGCAATAGAACCCTACAACAAGCTTTATGCTTAGGGAGTCCAAATATTTTGAATAACAAACTTGCCTGTCTTTTGTTCCAAAGATAGACATCACCTGTATTATACCATCCAGTAACCACACCTGCTTCTGTCCCAGAAAGTGACAGTATCTCCACTTCCCAAGGCTGCCGGTCACTGCACAATGTCCTTGAGCATTTGGTGCTCTGCTTATAAGGTCAGCAGAAGTACAAGTGATGCATGGGTAATTGGCCCTCGATGCTGTCCTGTCTGAACTCATCCATGCAGTCTTA